ATTGCTCCAGTTACAATCCCTTCTGATGGTAGGAATTGTAAGCTCGGTTACTAATGAAGGATACGTGTCAGCTTTTTCTAAATTTACAATTTGCCTTTGAAGAGACGTTCTATCACTCCCAAAAGATAAATCATTGGGAACAATTTCATCGACTAAAGGTTTTTGAGAAGAATCAAGGATTTCTTTACCTTTAGAAGAAGGGGTCTTCGGAATAGAACTCCCGATACTAGGAGAAGCAGAAGCAGGACCAGATAAACCATCACGAGTGGACCCTAGGCCCAAGCTCCGAAGCCTACCTCCTCTGCCTCTCCTATGTCTTGTGGGGGCATTGGGGAAGTGATCGAGAATTGGAACTTTTCTAGGGTTAGGGTTTGGAGATGATATAGTTGAAGAAGGATGTACTAAAGGGGAGAGAAAATACAAGTAAGTAAGAAATTGCTTGTTGAAGATCTATGAAGAAGAAGGTAAACGAAAGAGGATTAAAAATGCTTATAATGACAACCGTCAAACTTAGAAGTGCAATGATGAAAAACCTATAATAAAGGCAACTATCATTTCGTGAATAGTGTGAATAAAGAAATCTCAAAAAAAGGGTGTAGAATTGCAGAACCAATCAGAAGGTGACACGTATGTAAAGCATTAAATGGAAGGGACAATTGAAGCGTCAGTATTTGTCATAATATTAATTACGGCAAAAATTCCCTTTTTATGAAGATCCACTTCCCAATTATTTACTTGATAAATAAATGGAAAGTAGGGGGACTATCTATATTGGAAAAAAACTGAATTTACATTGTAGGTGACGTGGCATGTCACGTGGACTGGTCAAACGGTCAAAGCACAACAAATAGCCAAGAGGCACGGGCGACAACAGATAAGGGAAAAAGAAAGCAACATAGGTGCGGACCGTTACTAAAATAGGTACGAGTCTCGTACCTATCCAAGTCATTTAAAGACCGAAGATCGGAAGAAGTTGAAGATACGAATCTGATGACGTAAAAGAGTNNGAATTTCTTTTTAGCTTTGATCAAAGACTCAGATTTTTGGTTAAACAGTTGGATATCATAAAGGAGGATATAATATCCTTTGTTCATTAGTTTTTCAAAGGGAAAAACCTTACAAAATTTTATTCTCGTACATGTTTAGTTCTCATCCCTAAAATTGAAATTCCTTCTTATTTTTCAGATTTTAGACCTATAAGTCTGTCAAATTTAGCAAATAAAATTATTTCAATGTGACTAAACCCCCTACTCCCTTTTATTCCCGGAAAATCAAAGTGATTTTGTTAAAGATAGACTAATACTGAAAACATTCAATTGGCACAGGAGATTATTCAGTCTATCTCACAAACCAATAAAGGAGGAAATATTATTATGAAATTAGACATGGAAAAGGCCTATGATAGAATGTCATGGACCTTTGTTACTGCTGTTTTAAAAAAAATTGGTTTTTCAGACCTACGGACTGACATGGTGTTTAGACTAATTTCAAGAGTCTGGTATTCAATCATCATTAATGGATCTAGAACTGGTTTATTTACCTCTTCACATGGACTCAAACAGGGAGACCCTTTGTCACCATCTCTTTTTATTATTGCAGCAGAAGTGCTGCCAAGATCTCTAAATAATTTGCATGCTAATAGAAAATTTATACCTTTCTCTATGCCTACTAATGGTCCACTGATTAATCACATGGCTTATGCAGATGATATTCTCATTTTCAGCAATGGCAATAATAGATCCATCGGGTTGATCATAAAACAAATAAGAAGATATGAGCAAAGCTCTGGACAACAAGTCAATAACAACAAGAGTTACTTTCTCACTGCCCCAAAGACTGCAGCTACAAGAATCAATAGAATGAGGGCGTATACCAAATTCATGGAGAAGGAATTCCCATTCACATACCTGGGATGTCCAGTATATGTAGGAAGAAAAAAGATTGGATATTTTGACAATATGGTAAGCAAGGTGATGCAAAGGCTAAATGGTTGGAAAGGTAGAATGTTGTCACATGGAGGAAGGATAGTGCTCATAAAAAATGTTTTGCAAGCACTACCTACATACAACCTTAGTGCATTAGTACCTCCCAAAGGAACCTTGAACTTACTGGAAAAATATTTTGCAAACTTCTTTTGGGGTTCTAATGGTGACACCAACAAATATCACTGAAGTTCGTGGAGAAAGTTATGTTATCCAACTGAAGAAGGAGGAATAGGAATAAGAAGAATGGAAGAAATTAGTGATACCCTTGCAATTAAGAGATGGTGGAGATTTAGATCGAAGTCATCCCTCTTAGCTACTTTTCTGAAAAATAAGTATTGTGTAAGAGCTCACCCTGCAACTAAGCAATGGGCTTTTGGAGATTCCCACCTGTGGAAAAAGCATGACTCAAGCTACAAAAAAAAGCTGAAGACCAAATAATTTGGCATGTTAATTCAGGAAGTTGTAGTTTTTGGTGGGATAACTGGACAGGGAAGGGTCCACTAGCTGTTGAAGTTTCTAATGCGACTAAAAGTACCAGAACTCTGGTGAATTCTTTCATAACTAATGGGGAATGGAATGAATGCAAGCTGAGAGAAACTCTCCCTGATCATTTGGTGCATCGGATCCTAAACATTGAAATAGGGAGGCAGAACACTGAAGACCAACTTTACTGGGACTTGAAAGAAACCGGTAAATATACAAACAAATCTGCTTGGAATATGATAAGGAGTTGCAAAGCCAAGGAGTAAAGTTTGACACTTCAGCATCCCTTTCAAAATATCTTTTTTTGCCTGGAGATTATGGCAGAATAAACTTCCTTTCAATGAAGTCATCAGTAAGTTTGGGAGGAACATTACTACCACATGTTTTTGTTGTTCCAATCCTAAGAATGACTCAATCAAACATGTCTTTGTGGATGGAGATGCGGCAAGGAAAATATGGAACTTTTTTGGTGGTCCTATAGGTATTTCGGGTCAATTGGGTACCATTAGGTCCATACTGAATTCCTGGTGGCAATAAATGCAGTTCATAAATTGGTTCTTCAGATTGTCCCAATCATAGTATACTGGCATTTAGGGAAATAATGGTGTCCATGCAAATATGGGGATCAAAAGTTTTTTAACATGTTCAGATTGAACCAACAAATAAGTTAGATGATTCAGGCAGCAGTAAAGAAGGCTTTCCCTAGCAATACTTTAACATTGCCTTGGATCAATTTTTGTGACACCTTACGCAAGCTTCAACCTATTCCTAAGAGTATTATTATTTGTTGGAACGCGCCAAAGTCAGGAATGATAAAATTGAATACTGATGGTAGCTATACTACAAGCAATGGAATATCAAGACTGGGTGGAATTTTAAGAGATTACAAAGTAAATCTAATCATGGCTTTCTCCCAACCAACTACCTGCAGCAGTAATATAATCGCAGAGGCAGTTGCCGTAAAATTTGGAGTGCAATGGTGTATTCTAAATGGATATAAGAATTTCTCTCTTGAATTGGACTCTATTGCAGTTGCACAGATGATCATGGATAAGCAGGCGAATATCTACAAGATGGTCAATTTGATATATGAAATCTCTCAAATCCTAAGCCAAGGTAGTGTCAATGTCAGTCATTGCTTCAGAGAGGCGAACAGCTTAGTTAAACTTGCCTAGGACAGCCAACAAAGCTCTTTCTACTACTCTTTCGAAGAACTACAACGGGCAGCAAAGGGCCATTTCTTATTGGACAAATTCCAGATGCCAAGTTTAAGGCTAAGATATGACAAGGCTAATTTTTTTGTAAGTTAGTATTTTTAGATTATAGGGATGCAAAATAAGTCTCTGTTTTGGCCATCCCTTTTTTTAAGGACAAAGATATTGTCCTTATGTTGTAACTTATGAGGTAAGGCCAAGCCCCCCTCTTGTTCCTGTCCTCGTGAATACAACTTTGACTTGGAAATTTTATATTTTAAAAAAAATGTCACAGTATTACTAGTGCTTTTACTCTGTAGATTTGGTCTTCCTATGAATCAGGCCATTGCTCTTGCTATGGATACCCTTTTAAACTTTACACTAACACTTATTTCATTCTTATTGAAGATCAACCATTCTTGCATTGGTAGGATTTGTGTCACTTTAATACTTCATATTTTTCTAGAAATACTTCACATATTTTTAGTTATGAATGTAATTGTATAAAAAGGAAAGGAACTTCACAAAGAGAGCAACAGAAAGCTGGAGTTAAAGCCATGTATTGGAGGAAAAGCGACTATGGTCCTATTTTTATGTAGTCCTTCATTAAGACCAACTTATGCTAAGAACATTTGAGTCGCTTCTTACTTTCTAATCACAATCTTTTTAGACGTTTATGTTTGAGTTATTCCGTTAGGTTAGTTTTTATAAAACTGTAAGTTAATTTAACCATAGTAAATTATATGCATTCTCATTTAATTAAATTAATTAACCATGGTGAGTTAATATAGTTTGATATAAACAGATAAGTATTTACCATGTATCTACATTTTGTATCATTTAAGATATATCTATAATAGTCTTGAAGAAAACTACTCCCTTTATTGGGGGAAAAGATCTCCACTCTGCGTTCCATTTAAGTGCTAAAATTAATTTATTGCAATTTTTAACAAAAAACACAAAATATTGATAATGTACTATTCGAAATTGCCTCCACTAGTAATTTCACGAATAAGTTTTCGGTTCTACACATACCTCCGAAAGGACAGAAGGGAAAGGCTTGGCAACTAGTAGTGTTTAGCACTTGGGGTCGTTTGGTAGGATGCATTAGATAAAATAATGCTTCCATTAGCTTTGTGTATTAATAATACCTTGTTTGGTAGACATTTTAAACCTATGCATTAGTTATGCAAACATTAGTTATACATCCTATTTGGTATTATCCTATGCATAACTAATGCATAAAAAACCATGGTATTAGCAATGCAATGGGTTTTAATGCATGTATTAGCTTAGTTAAAGACAAAATTGTCCTTCAAAATTTATGCTTGATTAAAATATGCTAGTTATTATATTAATGCAAGTTTACAATAATTCAAATAGTGAGAAATAAAATTATATCTCTAGTAAATAAATAAATACTTAGCATATTTCCTTTTTCATAAATAAGTATTTAGTTCTATTTTACAATATAGGTAGACAAATCAAATAATGTTTTAAAATTTTTTCATATAAAAATATTTCTCAACATATGTTTCTTTTAAAAAGTTTGAGTGATGGACTAGTTTTGAGGGTATTTTTGTAAACAAGCAATTTTTTTAGAAATTGTGCAATGCTTTAATACATCAAACCAAACAATGGATAAAAAATATGTCAGCATAACTAATACCAGCATAACTAATGCAAGCATAACTAATACCAGCATTACTAATACACCATATTCAGCATTATTCTTATGCACCTTACCGAACGACCCCTTAGTGTTAATTAGCCCCTAATGTTAGAGACGTGATGGATGTCGGGCAAAACCAATGTCAAGGGCTTGTACATTGCCCCTTGGCATGGGTTCATGCGGGCGTTGGCAAGCAATGTGCGGAGCTGGGAGTGTGCCTAAGTTAGTGCATGGGCTTGGGTAGGTCAGCTAGACAAGGTGTCTTGAATGATGGCAAGACAGCCTTGATTGTGGGCGACGGCTATGGCAAATGAAGGCGCATGGCACTTGGCTAAGGCATGAATGCAGATCAGTGGGACGACAAAGGTTGTGACAAAATATTGTCATGAGCTATTGGGCGAGACATGGTCCAAACACAAGGCAAGGCAAGTTAAAGACAAAGAGAGGGCAAAGCTATGGAACAAGTGTGCAAGTCATGTGACTGTGAAGAAGTGTGTTGCGCATGTGCTGTGGAAGTTTAGCCATGTGCAGTGAACATGTTGCAGTTGGCCAAAGTGCTGAAGATATGTTCATTTTGTGGGAAGATGGATTCAAAACGTGGCTAAGTGTTTATGCTTGTTTTTAGGCTTGGCATGTGCCAAGCACGTTGTTGTAACTGCCCCTTTGTAACTGCTCCTTGTAATCAGCCCCTTTATATATGTTGTATTTCGTTGGTTTAAGGCAAGTAAGCATATGTGAGCCTTCCAACAGAGAGTCATTTGTATATTCTACGAGAATAAATAAAAGGTTAGGTTTTACCCGTACTTCTGTGTGTTGCTTACGTTTTACAAGTCTGAAATAATTCTAAGTGTTAAACTGTGTGCGAAAAGAGTAAAGCTGAGTGGCTTGAGAGTCAGGTTGCTGCCGTGCAGTGCTGGTTGCGAAAAATTGGCCCCGTAACACTTAGCATAGTCCCAAACCAATCATTTTCCTCCTCTTTTCTATGTTTTATCACTTATTATTTTGATAGCTTATATGAGAAAAAACAAATGACTTGAAGTTAGGAATTTCATGAATAAAAACAAGTATTCATTTGGGAATTATTTTCTTCGTCCCACTTTATGTGACTCAAACATACAATTTCAAGTTTTTTGTAATAAAAATTATATATTTAAAAATATATAAAAAGTACTATATGCTGTAATAACTAAAAATTTAAAATATTTATTAAGCATATGAAAAAATGACGATCAAACAAAAATTCTTTTGACTCTTCAAATAGTAAATATATCACATAAAATAAGACAAAAGAAATAGGTGAGAGAGTTGCTCGTGGAAGGTTTTAATTAAGGAGCCCCGTGAGCGCTTGTGTGACAATTAACATGGACCTAGTTTAAAAAGTTTCTCAAAAATTCAACTATATATAGTAGTTTGTGTTTGTATGTGTATCCACACATAAAATTCAAGCTAAATGAACAGGAATTTACGTTCAAAATTAAATACGTTTAGCATATATTGCTTTTAAACCATATCCTGCGACAAGGACAATATATATAGATGAGATTGATAGAATCCGTCTATCCTTTTAAAGATGATCTTTGTTCGAATACTAGGAATAAAAAAATCTTGATAGGGTGCACTTCTCGTTTAATGGGCATTACGTGTAGTGAATACGGTGATAGATCTAGAGCATCGTATATGAGTTTTTCGGGAACCCACTAAATTTTGCGTAGATCCTATATTTTTATTAAGAAATTCACTATCTGATTGTAAGCTCACTTACTATTGTATATTAATTTGAAATTACGGTAAAACCCCATAAATTTCAAATTGGGATCCAAAGTGGATATAGCTAGCTAACACAGGGTAGGAAACAAAGAAAAAGACAAGGCCATATACTGCTGTCAGATTTTCTTTTTGTTGCAAAAACTACTTCTAGATTTGTTATTGGATGGGAATTTACGTTCAATCTTTTTTATTACCTCGATGCAATATCACTGGAGAATGTAGAGGAATATAGAAAAAAGATTACTTTCTCGAATTACTGTTTTAATTTTTTTGCCACAAATAGAAAACAATAAAACTCGTAAAAATGAACACAATTCCCATTGAAGAATTATTATGTTCTTTCATTATTTTACTATTGGGAACAAGTAAATGAAGAAAACACCCTTCGTGCGAGTTAATCTACTGGAACCAAAAAACAAAGAACAAGAAATAGAAAAAATATGTATATATTTCCTCTGGAATTAACGCAGATGAATTTTTAGTGGTCAAAGAAACTATTCCTTTCGTTTATTTTTAGTTGTCCACTCTTGACTTTTCACTCCTTTTAAGAAAAAATAAATAAAGTATATATTTTATAATTTTTTCATAATAATGATAGTATTTCAAAAATATTGGAAAATGATTTGGGGAATGAGTAGTTAATGATAATTAGGGGTGTTCATCGGTCCGTACAATACAATATTTAGATATTTTGGTTCAGTATTTTTGGTATTCGATTTCTTAAAATGCTAGCTATACCAATATCATACCTAATTAAATTCAGAATTGTTCGGTTTTTCTCCTTTCGATTTCGGTTTATTCGATATGGTAACTTCGGTTTGTTCGGTTCGAATACTAACTAATACATAAAGCGATAGACTGTAATATTCTTAATTAAGGTATACACAAATACAAAAATAAAAATATTTATAATATAGTAAAAAAAGATGAAAACCAAAAATATTAAACCTAGACGGGACAAAGGTTGGAACGTAAGTAGGGAACCAAAGAAAAGGAGAAAAGACAAATATTGTGCAAAAAAATAATGGTTAAAGTGAACTATAAAAATAACGGAAAGTAAAATTTAGAATAACTTGAATATTTATTTTATAAATTTAAATCAAATATCATATCAAATACCAAAATAGCGAATACTAAATGCCAAAATTTTCGATTTCGGTATGGTAATTCGGTATTTACCACATTATATACAGCACTAGTGATAAGGATAAAAAAAATAAAAAAAAAAAGAGTGTCATATGTTCTTTTCAAAAAAAAAAAAAA